GAGAAGGGGAGAAGGGTGTCGGAAAAGTTCACCAAGTCAAGGCGCAGAGACACAAGAGATGGCAGCATTCGTGGTCGTGGCTGCTTCCTGTTTCGGTTACTCGGATCGAAGGGTGCACGAAGCCCCTCGAGAAAGTCGACAATCTGGTTCCAAGTGTAGCACCGGAAGCCACCACGAACGAGAGGAGACTCGGTTGGACGTTGCTGAACTTTCAAGACGTGGTCCTTCTTTAGATCGCCATGATAACAGCGGTCCAGTTTGTGTCGGCGACAAGGCTGATCGTCATAGTATCGTGCAATAACACGAAAGGTGACATGGGTAATACCCTGACGAAATTGGACGGGTAGTTCGGCAAAGGTGCGAACAGCTTGAGGAGTTGTAAAAGTAAAATTGTTCGACTCCCACAGGTATCGAGTACCTTCGAGGTGAAGAGCCCTGCAGGTAGCCAGGAAATTGATGGCAATCTGGTTGCCTCGCGTTTTCTCTTTGTCAGACATGTTCTCGGGTGTAAGGGGGGACAGAGGGTCGACAATTGGGAAAGGAGATTTCATAGCAAACTTCAGAATACGAAGAATGACTTCCATAGGAAGGTACGGGTGACCAAGCTCCTGAGCTGTCATAGAAGATCGGGTCTTGCGCTTCAAAGGATTGTCTTGATTCATGTGGTTCAGAGCGACAGAAGACCAAGAAATGCCGTTTTCACGCAGAATACGCTTGAGTTTCATGTTCTCTTCGGTGAGAGACTGATTTGCACGGCGGAGAGGATGGTTAAAGGCAGCCTTGGCCTGGTCTTCCTTGTCCCGACATTCCCACGGGTAAGCCGTCTGTGACTTGTCAGCTAACTCCAGGATGAATATCTTTGAGATACTAACCGCGGGGGTGTTTGATGTCATGGTCACGTTTGGAAAGACAGTTGACGTATGCGGATGGCTAATTGAACGAACAACGTCGGATAAACGATCGCAAGTTCCAGTCAACGAGAGGGGATGAGTAACAACTACGTTGATCGGAAGTGAAGTGAAGATGTCGTGAGCGTGGCCAGAAACTAAGACCACAAACGGGTGGGGTGGTCTTTGTACAGTCGATGGCGATGGCGATGGACAGGGTAGATGAAAGTAAAATGGGAAAGAAGATGAAGTACTTAGTCGGAAGACTTGTATGGGGAACAGAATGCAGAAGTTGGTATGCTGCAATCCTGTTGCGCCGGCACTGACTTGAGGGTTTGTCTCTTTTGCTGTGATGCGGTCTGGGAAACGAGGGGAGTAGGGTAGGTAGTTAAGTGAGGTGAAGAGTGGAAAAGGCACAACTGGCCAGGGAAATGCTGCCCGCTTGTCTTTCGATCAGATCTGCGAATTGCAGTTGACAACAGCAAAGGCGCGATGCCTCCAGTGTCTATTTTTGCTGGCTTGTTGATTGTAGAATGATCTGGGATGGAGGAAGATGAGGGCTGGTGTTGCACGGGAAGTGCGTAGGGAAGTCGATGGTCGGCATGTTCTTACCTGAGGTTGCTTAAGCCAGGTGGGGTGGAGTTCCCGTCCCTAAAGTCTGCTGTTTCTTGTGTGACGTTATAGGCTCGGATTAGAAGGAAGGCACCATTCGCAACACAAAATTAATTAGGTAAGGACCGCCGGGCGAGTGCTACCCGTCGCACTTGTCTTTGCCGCGCGCCGACTGAAATTTCCCAAAAGTGGCAGCTCATGCGATCGAGATCTCCAGAGGTCCACAGAGGGAGTTTATTACCTACCTTAGTAGGTACCTAGACGGAGACAAAACACCCGGGAATCATAAGGTAAGATAGAGCAAAGGTCCCTTTCGAGCTTCCTATCGGAAGTCTTTCACAAACAGATAGCCTATAGCATTTTGAGCTGCGTAGCGCAAGGGTTGCCATGCTATTCCTTGACGAAGATCGTGCTAGGGTAGAACGATCATTATTCAACGACTGCAGTTGAGTTATGAATACCAAAAGACAACTTGAGTTTCATTGGTCACATTATCCCTCGCGTCCTCTCCAAAGATGTCCCTATAATTATTCAGGATCTCGCAGTGATTTTTATGCAATCATGTTCAGTAAGTCAAGGGCACACACCGGCAAGGGTTTCCTACGAATACAAAGCCATATTCAATCCAATGCAAGCTCCCTTGAACCAAGTATTGTGTATTGAGCGGAGCGGGTCTTTGCCTAACGGTATTGGCCAACCTGCATTGAACGGAAGATGGCACAACGGAAAGACTCGTTTCCTTTGGCTTCTCGGTACTCAGAGAAGTAAGGTACTAAGGTAGATCTCAATAGGTAGCCTCGAGTTAATAATGGACTAATTAGACCAGGGCTGACCATGAGATGCTGGCTCCCATTATCAACGAGGCGGGTGAAATAGAAGCAATAGAAGCCCAGTGAGACTGAGACGTAAACATTGTGCCCGGTCCCCAATTCATCTTCCCGAAATCCAATGTAGGTAGTCCTTGATTGGTAGAATGACGCGAGGCTTGTTGACACAACAGCTTCATGCCTCCGTGCAGGAGCCCATCAAGGACGCTGACGTCACCATTATCATTGTTCGATCTCAAACACCCCGCTGCGATTGCCCTACATGTCGACTGAACATCGATGATGAAATGCATACGATTGTGCCATGATGGCTTGCATGCTGCCTTATGATGTGTAAGCAATAGCTTGCTTGGGAGGAGGTATATAAATTGGCTGGGGAAGCTTCAGCTTTTGTGCTTGAGCTCTGATCTTATCTTCAAACATCAACAACCTAAAACACTCCCACCACATACCTACCAAAACAAGCAAGATGTCTTTCTCTAACGCAAACACTGGCGATGCCCCTGCCGATCCTTACAAGAAGGCAAACGCCGAGGAGGTTCCCCTCCAGACCAAGATTGAGGATCTCGTCCACTTCATCACCAAGGAGAAGTTTGGCATGATGACCACCCGGGGCTCAGGCTCTGGTAACCTTGTATCTCGCTGCATGGCGCTGGCTGCCACAGTATGTGTGCCTTTCGTTGGAATTGAAACTCTATCTGACCCTATTGCAGGAGACCGGAGGCATTGACCTTCTCTTCCACACCAACACGGAGTCTGGCAAGACCGACGACCTCGATGCTGACCCTCACGTCAATATTTCTTTCATCAACGCCTCCGGAGAGTGGGCCTCCATTGCTGGCAATGCTAGTATTAGCACAGATCGAAGCCTTGTTTCCAAGCACTACAGCCCTACACTCAAGGCTTGGCTTGGTGATCTCGGTGACGGTGTCCATGATGGCTCTGAGAACGACCCTCGCATCGGAATCATCCGCGTCAAGACAGTATCAGTCACCTATTCTCTCGTTTCCAAGAACCTGCTGAGCCGCGCTGCCGACATTGCTTCCAGCGCCGTTACTGGCAAGCCTGCTTCGCCCAACACATTGAGGGAGATTTCGGAAGGGGATGTGCGATCTTGGCGCGCTTCGCGAGAGTAATGTTCTGAATAATGCAAATCTCGCTTGTACGATAGGGCTTTTATCAAAGGCGATACGAATTCATGACAATATTAGCAACCGTTCACAGCTGCTTTCCGTACTCAGCTTTCCATAGCATATCCCACTTCTCCTTGTCCACCGCAAACTGCCGGACGTAGTCGAGCTCCAGCTCGTGTGTTCTTCGACCAAGGAGGACGAGACTGTGAAGAGGAGGCCCTAGTTCCTCGTCGGTAGAGCAAAGCTCCTCCAAAGTACCAGCCACGAACTTCTCCGTCTTGCCTCCGACGCGAGCAGCGCCAATGGCCAGGCTGTCCTTGGTATAGACACCCTCCTTACGCTCATCCTCAATTTCTAGCATCTGTTGTGCACACTGACCGACAGTCATGTAGCGAGGAGGCTCGTAGACCAGACGACCTCGGGCCATATTCTCGAGACTCTGCTCCTTAACCTTGATATCAACCAAGACTAGCGTATGTAAACCGATTTGACGGTTCTCCTTTATCCGATCGTAGAAAGATGCGGGCTTCCATGTATCAGTGAAGAAAACCATGGACACGGTTTGTCCAAAGTTGTAGAGCTGCAGACCGCATGCGCCAATCCCGGACATGATGGAGGCGTTGGGAACGGTTCGGACAGGGATTTCGAGTTCCCGGGCACGAAGAACGAGATCCGTATGAGTAGTAGCACTGTGATGTGTCAGTATACAGCTGCAAGTTGGATCATTAGATCGTACCCGAAGGGATCTCCAACAACAAGGAACGCAACATCTTCGTTCTGCGCATTTCGGAGGATCTCATCGCTGTTTGACTCAACCATCTCACGGTCAGCTACAGTGATAGATCGTCCATAGTACGATTCCTAGCATAATTAGCATTGGCTCTTGGGTTAGGGAATGGTTGCTTGTACCAAGACAGATTGCTCGACAAGCAAAATGCTAGTATAAGCCTCCAGATAGACCCTGGAGGCTTTCTTGACGACCTCAAGACCCTTGACTGTAATATCTGTCTCATCGGAGAGACCAAGTCCTACGAGGTACAACATTGTGATCCTTCTACGTCTGATTATCGCAGTGGTATTTAGTGGTGAAAAATTGTCCCTCGGTCGCAACTCAAAAAAAAGAGATGCCCCGCGGCGGGGTATTTTTAGCGCTTCCTAAGGTTGCTGTGACCTCATGCCTAGTACCCCTGTCGCTCTAAAGCAATTTTGGCCCGGAATAAATGGCACGGGTCGGGTCATGTTTAACACCAGGACGATGTTGCGGTTTCGAAGAACTCCAAGGCTAAGTATATCTTATAGACCCAATGCTAAGATTTCATATGCGGCACGAGCATAGAAGAGATGGATTACAGTTTGTAATGCAGAAGCGAGAGCCGGAATCGCATGTTAAGACCGTGGCCTTAAGTTCAATGCTGCTTTCTTGTGAGTCCACTTTTGGCTAGACTTGGTATAAACTCCACCACTGTGATTGCGTCCCAACTTTTATCATCCATGATCAGTCTAGAACCTATAGGCTGCTCTTCACATATTGATATAACCCAATGTCCGATTCCAAGAAAGGCGCGTATGGTGGCGCGCCATCAGGCGATACCGATTTTCGAAAGACCTATGATCTCGACGAATACGCTGCCAAAGCCAATGAACGCGAAGCAAAAGAAAAAGAAGAGTCCAAGGCGCGTTATGAAGCCAAGCTTGCAGGCAAGAAATACCACAAGCCTCTGACAGGCGACGAAACATACACATCAGCACGCCGGAATATTATAGACCTCACACAACAAATCGGAAAAACGCAGCTTGTTCCCGGAGGTGCAGGTGTCGGAAAGCGTGGCCGAGGAGCTGGTTTCTACTGTGAGCCTTGCGATCTCACGTTCAAAGACAATAAGCAATACATCGAGCATCTCAACACACCACAGCACTTGATAAATACAGGCCAAACGACTGAAGTCAAGCGCGCGACGGCAGAGGAAGTCCACGAACGAATTGAGTACTACATCCGACGGCGAGACGAGCTTGAGAAGGAGAAGCAGACTAGCCTACACGAGCGACTGCAGTTGCGGGAAGAAGAGGCTGAGAAAGAAGCCGAAGAGCGGAGGAAGAAGAGAAGAGAGGACAATGAAAGGAAGAGGATTAAAAAGGAGGAGGAGGCAAGGGTGAAGATGGAATATGGAGAGGACGTTCGTGTTGATGGTGAACATGACGAAGACGATATGATGGCAGCAATGGGCTTTACTGGATTTGGGACCTCGAAGAAGTGATTGACGTCCAGGTCGTTCAATGATACCCCGCGTTCAATATGGTTTTATATGAAGAGTTTATTCGGTGTACAACAGTCAAGAATGAAACAGATGGTTGGAGATATCAAAACAAGACAGTGGTCGGTGTGGGTAAAGTCAACACTATGATTTAAAAGTGACAAGCAAGATGAAACAGCATACATATTCCAAGCGCGACTCATTTACTCCAAGACTCAATAGATGCAGATAAAAGCACCTGGTTCAATGCTGTGAAATGAATGTCGCATTATTTCATTACCGTCCTTACTCTTAAGTTATCGAATGAATCCAGATCCTGGAAACCGTGAGGCGGGGCCGTTTTCCAGCTAAAGCCCAACGACTCCCCCACAATCCGCCGCTACCAGGTTATCCTATAAGGTAAGGTACCTAGTAATGGATCACACATCTGCGGACTGATCTTGCATATACATATACGACCTCGCCAGCTTCTACTGGCACACTTCAATCCTTCTTTGAAGTGCCAAGCTAAAATCCTCATCAGCGCCTCGTCCACAAAGACATCATGGCCGCTAGTTCTGCTCCAGCAGCTTCGTTGCTCAAGCGACAACTCAAAGAGATGCAGGCTGGCAAGGATATTCCAGGCATCTCATGCGGCCTCGTAAACGATAACAACATCTTTGAGTGGGAGGTGATGCTCATGATTAGCGACGACTGCAAATACTACGGTGGTACGACCAGAGCCCGACCTCGCTTCCCCCTCATGACCTTTGACATACGCTGACCTCGACTTCCAGGAGGCAACTTCCGGGCTCGTCTATCCTTTCCGTCGAGCTACCCTCACATGCCACCGTCACTCACATTTCAAGACCCCATTCCTTTCCATCCGAATATCTACGAAAACGGCAAGCTCTGCATTTCTATCCTCCATCCTCCCGAGGAAGACGAATATGGCTACGAAGCAGCCTCTGAACGCTGGAGCCCTGTCCAGACACCCGAAACTATTCTTCTCAGCACCATCAGTCTTTTCCATAGCCCCAACGATGAGAGCCCTGCTAACGTGGAGGCTGCACGTATGTTCCGCGAGGAGAGGGAGGGTAAGAACAAGGATTTCCGAAGACGCTGCAGAAAGTGCGTGAGGGAGAGCTTGGGAGAGGATTAGATGTAGGGCCGTACTCTATATATGCGAGTATCATGGGAGTGCAAAGCATATGTGGGTTGGCGTTAGGTGGTTGGAACGTCTTGCGATAGTCATCAGCGTTCAAGCGATGTCATGGAACCTTGGGCGTATTTTATATCAGCGTTGAACCATTAATGCAATAGTGACCCTTCCTATTGTTGCGCAGGAACATTATGATGATTTTTCGTCGTTGAATTCCTTCTTGAGCTGCAATATCTAAATGCTCTCTTCACCAACAAGCCCAATGGCTTTGCCAACTACGCGGTCCCATTCCTGATCCCACCTCAGAGATCCTTCACTAACTGCACCCTTCTTCAAACGGGCCAACTCCTCTTGTCCAGAAAAGCTCAGAAGTCTGGCGAGAATCTCCGCCAATTCTGAAGAAGTTTCGAAACCACAACCATTTTGGCCTTCCTTGACAAGCTCGCTGAAGCTCTCAAAAGCCGAGTATGCTGCGACGGGGAGACCAGCACCAAACATGTCCACCACCTTCATGGGAAGATCAACGCCCGAGCTTGACTTATGCAGCGAGATGCCAAGGTCTGCTGAAGCAAGAAGTGAAGCATAGTCCCTGGTGGAAAGCCACGCTGTTAAGATACGAACGCCAGGTAGTTTACCACCCTCCTGGAGTGTCTTAATTTTTTCAAGGTAGAGTTCTTTTTGCGGACCCTTACCGGTAATTATAGCTAGGATGGGTGAGGCCTCGGCGGAACTGGCATAGGAGACGAGAGCATCCAGGAGCAGACCAAAGTCCTCGTCTGGCGTCCAGGAGGTGCTACTCACGATGAGCCGTACTGCTCCATCGACAATATCCTTGGCAATGTCTTTAGTCTCTGCAAGTCGAGACAAAAAGGCCAGACGTTTTGTAGTAGAAAGAATAGGTTGAAACACCTGGGCAGGTCGGTCATGAAGTGTGAGGACAGAACGCTTCAGGTTGAAAGGCTTCTCTTTGAGCTGACGGGCCATAGCATCGGTGACAGAAAGGTTGACATCTCCTAGATAGCGTCCGAAGCCGGTTTCATACCAACGGTACACAGGAACCAATGGCTTAACATACCACTTCCCTTGTGCCAGAATGGTGTAGCCATAATTATGCCAGTCCACTACAAGCTTACTGCCTCGTAGGAAGGAAACCAAGAGTGCAACATGAAAAGTTGGAATTGAGGGAGGGTTCTTGGGGGGTTGTCAGCTACTTTGAAGCTAAAAAGGACCGTGAGTATGATATTAACTTACTTGAATGATGATCCATTTTGCAGCAGGAGCCTCGTACATCAAGGTACTGAACAAGCCCCAGAACTGCCATAAAACCTTGAGAGGAATGTTGAGAAAGAATGGCAATGTACCCCATTGAAGGACCTCAGGTTGTGGTGGGAGTGCATACATAGTAACGCGAGGATTCCCGATAAGATCGGGGTGTCTTGAGGTTTCTACCTAGTGTTAGGTTGTGCACATAACTCATGATATTCAGGTGATGGAATGATATGATACCTTTGTAGCCCACGATATCGACATTGCGACCATGTTTTGCAACGCTCAAAGCATGATATTGCATGCGAGGACTACGTCCCACGTCGCCGACGACGAGAATCTGAATATGATCATCTTCAGGGTTCTGAGATGGCTGATGGCGAGTAGGAATAAGAATCGCAAGACCACGTATCAGCCATACCAGGAAGACACAGCTGAGAGCGCCAGCAATGACGGAGACAATAAAAGCGGCTGACATATCAATAAAGGAATGAATCGGCAATCATAACATGGCGTCGAGACTAATATGAATCCTTTCGGTGGTGCCCGCAGCAACCAGTTATGGGCGTTGTTGGAGTTGTGTTGACCGAGGCCAAGGCCACCTTGCACTCACTGGTCAAATAGATTCGAGGTTCCACAGGCCAGGATGCACAGGTGCCGACGGTAAGAAAGACAAGGCAAGAGAGCAAAACAAAGCGATCTCGATTGAAGCTGATCCCAGAAGACGATCAAACATAGAGATCAATAAACATTGTATTGACGCACAAGGCAAGGTAGAGTTGATAGGGGAAAAAAGGCGTCTTGCTGTCGACCAACGAAAAGGCTTTGCAAATTATTCCACTCTCAACTTTCATGAGGCATCACCAACTGCTCTGATCTAACTTCGATCCAATACAATAAATGTAAATTTCTTATGCTGTAGTGGAGTGAATATGCTGTCTAACAAGCAACACATTCGTCTCAGTCACGGTGACGATTGCCATAGCTTATGTCTCTCTGCCAAGCAAAGAAATCTAGGTGACGCAAGCAAACAGATCAATTTTGCCTACTAGGTATGTATGTACCTTATAGTGCTAGGTAGTTGATGGAAATACCACAAAGCACCTAGCTGTAGTTTTTGTTACGAACCTATAATTGTCTAGCCTATTTGCGCTCATACTTTCTGTATGTTTTGCATAATATGTATGTACGGATACACTCAGCCAGACGGGCAACGGGAGATTATCTCAAGATGAAGTTCAGGGGATGAGATGCAACTCTGCTGCGGGGTGTGATAGCATTAGGCCTAAGAAGCGAGCTAGAGCAGCAAATGCACTAACTCTTAGCGGAAAAGTAACCGCATGCAGGGGGGAACGCCAAACCTTCCAGCGCTCAGCCAGTCAAAACTGGCCCTCCCCTAGCAATCCCCGGCCAAACGACAGGGCCATGAGGGCCAATCCATGATGTATCAGAGGATCAGGAAGGAGCAAACCCAGATCAACAATCAAGTGACTTCAAAACGGTATCAAGACTTGGCGAACATACCACCTTAGCAACTCTTTCACCGACTTAAGATCACATTTTCACCAGGATCAAATAGCTCAACTCTAATCCACCGATCGAGTCATTAACTTTCCCTCTCTCAGCTGTTTCCATCTTGGCTCTTGATCCTCTTGGCAACCCGTCGATCGCTGCTCATTCGGGTTGTCACTTTTAGCTCCACGTGCTGGAGTCTCCTATCTGTAGTCCGCCACAACCACCACGGCTCTTCACGCCTCCCGCGTCTACGCTGAAAAGGATTCTAGACGTCCCACGACCTTTGTTTCTCTTGCCTTTTTGTATCCGATACCGTACAGCTGCTTGCGACGCGCCCGTTTCACAAATCCAATTTTACGCTCGACTGATGACGTTGCGATTGGCCTAGGGGAGGTGTAAGGACTCTCTTTGAAATCGCCAATACTTGCGCCGATATCCGATCACCGCCCTCATTGAGCGTCGCCTCCGTGACTTAGTTCAGGATCGAATTGTTGACTGGAGCAACCGTCCCGAGTTCTATAAATCAACATGGCGTCCTCATACGCCCTTCCGACCTCCACTCTGCCGCATGCGCATCAGAACCATATGCATTCACACACACGAAGTCATTCTCAATCGTCGTTGAACAACCTCAGACGGCAATCGACTTTCTCCAACGGGAGCCTTCCATCAGTGCCCGACGAAGAGCATAACCACGATGTTAGCCATGATCATGTGGATGGAAATGGAAACCATTCTGCACACTCCCACAATCCGAGCATCCACAAGCATGGACACAGACGCTCCCGCATGTCCAACACAAGCGCAACCATTGCCCGCGAGAAACTCCCTCCAGCCCCATTAAACACCTTGGAGGGCTGGACAGAAGAGAGAACACCGGGAGGCAAAAGCATACTTACACCAGGTCCAGAATCGGCCAACATGACTTATTCTCCTCCGGAATTTCCTCACGACCATCATGATCACGACCATCACGATCATTCCCACGATCACTCCCACGACCATTCGCATTCTCACAACCACTCACATAGTCATGACCATAGCAATCATTATGGACATGATCATGGCTATCCGCACGATG